TATTCCATACACTATGTAACATTACCTAAAATTTTATGATGCTTTGAAAATCTTGAACAGTTGCTGGTGAAACACGTTTTACGGACTAATTGATGTCTCGTAAAAAGGGTTGTACTTATTCATCGTGGTAAAGTATTCTAATAATAAAGTATAATCGTTTGTCTCATGATGTGGTCACTTATGAAGTGGATCGCAACGTTTCGACTGCCTACTGCTAGTCTTCATCAGGCGATAAGGTCGACTGTTTTCGGGTCTCTTTCTAAAGCAGGATGCTCCGCTGTGATTGCTCGGTATTTCACAGCTATGATTGGCGAGTTTCGATCCTCAATGTTAGTGAGTTGTCCTCTCGGTAGTCCGCTGTCGTAGGCCTCTCCTGTTGTTGTGTTTTTTAATCGTGGCCATCCACGCACCAGGAATTTTTAATCCACTTTTCCTGCTGATGTTACTAGGGTGAAGACTTATATGAATAGCCTCTGACCCTGCGAGCGTACCAGTGAGGATCACGATCAATAAACTTAACCTCATTGCAAATCGGTTGGTGTCCAGTGATGCGGGCGTGCTCTGAAATGGCGGAGGTCTGGGTACGGTCTCGTCGGATGTCTCGGTTGTGCTCTTTTATTCTGTCTTACATTGGTCTTCCAGTCTCAGCGATGTAAACTTTGCCGCACTCACAGGGAATCCTGTAAACTACGCCGTCTTGTTTCGCCGGATCAACAGCGTCTTTCGCTCTTACTAGCTCTGATCTTAGTGTAATTTCCGACTTGAAGACAGCGCGTACGCCTTGTTGTTGTAGCCAGCGGGGAAGCTTTTCGGAGAAACTTTTAACATTAGGTATCACTACGGTGGATTTGAATTCGATTGCGGGCTCGGCAGCGGCCGTTGATTTTGTGGCCTTGGTGACTTTCTGCAAGAAAGAAATAGGGTAACCATTAGAGGCGTGAACGGATTATAAATGTTTTTCTCCTTTGAGATGAGAGAGGGTTTTGTCATGAGGCGTTTGGCGCGTTCGCGGAGACACTTAACAATACCGCGTTTTACTGATTGTGGGTGGTGTGAGTCATACACTAAGTATTGATCAGTGTGTGTGGGCTTCCTGTGCACGATGGTGGTGAGGCGGCCGTTAGGTTCTCTTGAAACTGCGGTGTCGAGGAAGGCTAATTTGGTGTCATTTTCTGTCTTCGTGGTGAAGCGGATGGAGTGGAAGAAGTTATCTATGTTTTCACGATCCAGGAAGGTAAAGGTGTCGTCAACGTAGCGTTTCCGGATCCTAGGTTTGTAGGATGATGAAGTTAAACTCTTCTGCGCCTTGCGCCATTGTATATTTAGCATCTCACACAGCTGCATTCGCAGAGAGTGTACTTGAGATAACGAATTCGCAAAATAAACAATCACCTCAAAGGTAAAACACAACCAAAACTGAACAAGGATTACTGGGGATGCGAAATTAACTTGGATTACATAGGACGAAGTTATGGGGGTCAAACCATGACGAATAAGGAAGGCCCCTTTTGCATGCCCCCCATCAACCTTTTAATTTGAATCTATCTTCAAGGTTTATTCCTCGTCGTTCAATGTTCCAATTTATCTATTGGGAGATTTGAACTGCAGACTTGAGAATAGCAACGATCCTGGAGCTAACGCCCTTGTTAATTTCTGCCGTTCCTACAACTTGTCAATACTGATCAACACGTCAAGACGAGTTACAGAGACTTCGAAATCAATTCTAGATGATATCCTTGCATCGGACACAAGACAAGTTCAAACGGCTACGGTTATGGAAAGCTCGATTAGCGACCATGACTTGCTTTATGTCACCTTAAAATTGAAGAAGGCGCGCACCAAACCCGTCTATATTACAACCAGAAGTTTTAAACACTACAGTCCTATTGACTTTAACAACGACGTATCACTGGCACCATGGCCCATAGTTGATGTTTTCGACGATGTCGAGGACAAACTTTATGCACTTGATTCGCTATTTACTGAGATACTCGACCGGCATGCTCCAGTTAAAACCTGTAAAGCACGCTGTAAACCAAATCCATGCGTAACAGACAACATCCGCGGATTGATGAAGACCAGGGACGAATGGCGTAAGAAAGCAAAGAAAACAAATGATCCGCTATCTTGGACTGCTTACAGATATTTCAGATAGGAAGTAAGAGGGAAATCAAAATTTCTGAACAGGAATTTGTTGCCGAACAAATCCAGAGGAATCCAAATAACACCAATAATATCTGGAAAGCAATTCGCCAGTGCATCCCCAGTAAATCTACATCTCAGCGAACATANTGTGTTCTATTTTTAATCAGTCCATCAGATCAGGTGTTTTCCCTCAGGAATGGAAATGCGCAAAGGTTATTCCACTTTTCAAAGAGGGATATCACTCTAACTTAAACAATTAAACTTAAAAGTTTTCTGAGAGAAATCAAGGATAATTTTCCAGAGCAGTGCAAAGATGGGAAGACATCATAAGGTATTATTCTATGATGGAAGCTCACGCGCTTGCACAGAAATATTTGGTTGTTACCTGCGCTATCAAGCAATAGCACTATGTAATTCGACCCTTATGTACAAACTAAACGCCCTACTCGACACTGCTGCGGTGAGACTAACTTAATCATTAAAGTTGATTGGCACGATCCATTATTTAAAACGCGAGCTAGGAAAGGAGTTAAAAAGGGCATAAAGAGGAAGACTAGAAGAATGAACTACATAAACACAGTTTGCTTACTAGTGTATATTACTCAATACTGTGTTAGCAAGGGAGCATCTTGTTATATGAAAATATGGTACGAGTCTACCGGTTGTGTCAGTTATGAACCAATGACAACATTTGTACGACATGATGCCTTCTACTTGACTTGCATATGGAAGACTTCAACAAGAAGGTGATCAAATTCGGCTCTCTTAAAGTCAACAACTCGAGACTATTCACGGATCACTGACACCGCCATTAACTCCTTTTGAAAAGGTCTGTCTCGCTATGTCACATTGTCAGATTTTAAGTAGTTTCGCTCTTTTGTGATTGCAGGCTTCAGTACTTCCTTTAAGTTCAAGAAGGATGAAGCCTGAAGGAAATCCCGCCAATGTGATTAGAAGAACACCATCCACTTCCCGGCCGACGAAGAACCAAAAACTAATTAAGAAATTTATCATCTTGGCCATCTTATTCATTCTAATAAATTTCTATGTAAGTGACAAATTAGAATTTCCACCGACAATGAGCACAGAACTTTAAACAAGTTTTAATCTAATTCTTAGACCCAGATTTATATCAAAACTGCACACTGAGCACGCGATTATCAAATGCGTATTTTCTAGTGTCACGCCATCACTGAAATGTTGATATACAGGATTTAAATCAAACATTTAAACATAATTAGTTTGATTTGGTAACTTTCTAGCTACTCGTGGTCCACCGATCTCGCTATCTGTATGGTTTGGTGCCCCAAAACAGCTCATCTAGGTCCCGTATGTATACCTGGGTTTTCACTTTGTTGTTTGACTCCTGTTTCTGACGAGAGTGTAAACTGGGTTCATGTAGCGATTAAAAAGCAGGTCTAAGATATTTGGGAAGTAATGTAAAATGATCGGTTCCCAAAAAGAAAACCGCCTTTACATTGCATTTTTTCAAAGCGAGCCAACAAAATAAAGAACTTTGGATTTGAACCATTTTCTTGAAGAAGTTACAAGGGGAGGGGAGATTGCAGATGACAAATGAACTCCCTAAATATTCCAGTAGTAGCCAATGTACAACCGGTACCCACGTTGATAAAAAAATTTGGGGAAGGGGATGGCTGTATAAAGGCTATGTGGTTGAAGAGCTTTAACATCTCGTTTTCTTCTCACACAGATGTTGACTCTACTGAAATCGATCTTTAATTGTAAATAGGATTTTTTAATTGTGATAGGATTATTTTTAAAACATTGTCTTTGAAAAGCCCCCTTGGGGAAAGTCAATAAAGTATGTATGTATGTAAGCTTACAAGATTTGGGTCAGTTTTCTCTAACCAATGCGCACCTTTGCTAATACTGGGGTCAGAATTGACACTGGGATTGGCCGAGCCCGTATCAGGACGCTAGAGGGGAATGTTGTTTCGCACGGCCTGATCTTCGCAAATTCCTTTTAATTTGTCTGTTTTAAAACCCTTTCTTTCCATGTTGGGTCGAGGTGATTATTAATCTGTGTGGGAATGTGGAGATGACCGTAGACTTCCCGAGGGTACATAAGGATGTCTACGGTCATTTTTACATCCCCCCCTGAATCAAAGATCTCTTCGGCCGATCATGTATAGAAAAAAAGATTTGCAAACACAAAACTTTAATTTTAGAGAATTTTCGAAGCTACTTTAACTCTGCATTTCATAGAAAAAAAAGAAAAAGATCGAGGCGACGCGAAACATGCCTCTTGAGCGACCAGGCCTGACTCGGCCAATCCCAGCATTCATTTGGACGCAGTATTAACAAAGTCGCCTATTGCTCTCGTTTTCGTCTCTGACTGTAACTGATCCAAACCAAGCATTCAATCTCCCAATTAACAGCTCCACCTGCCTTTATCATCAATCCGTTCTTTGACAGTAATAATTATAATTATAATGACTAGTGCTAATGACAATGCTAGTGATAATAATAATGATAATAACTATGATGACAATAATAATGCTCATGATGATGATAACAGTACAGATAATTATAATGATATTAACAATGGCAATAAGACTTATGCAAATTTTATGTGTGATGTACACTAAAAAAATCACTTTTATACACTTGAAGGTTTAAGGTACTCGGTATCCTCCAAAGATAAAAGATACATCAACGCGGGCTAAAGGTTATTTTTTTAAAGAAACAAATGGAAGTTGATCAATAATTAAATAATAAAGAAAGAAAGAAATAGCCCGTGGTTTCTATGACATCAAAAGGGGAATCCCCAAATCAGACGAGAGGGAACTGGCACTAATTTATTATTTTCGATTTCAGCTTAGATGGGTCGAAGTACTCGGTGAACGTATCTGAGGAAAACTTAAAAGTTTTCTGAGAGAAATCAAGGATAATTTTCCAGAGCAGTGCAAAGATGGGAAGACATCATAAGGTATTATTCTATGATGGAAGCTCACGCGCTTGTACAGAAAGATTTGGTTGTTGCCTGCGCTATCAAGCAATAGCACTATGTAATTCGACCCTTATGTACAAACTAAACGCCCTACTCGACACTGCTGCATTTAGTGTGAGACTAACTTAATCATTAAAGTTGATTGGCACAATCCATTATTTAAAACGCGAGCTAGGAAAGGAGTTAAAAAGGCATAAAGAAGAAGATTAGAAGAATGAACTACATAAACACAGTTTGCTTACTAGTGTATATTACTCAATACTGTGTTAACAAGGGAGCATCTTGTTAACACAGTATAAAAATATGGTATGAGTCTACCGGTTGTGTCAGTTATGAACCAATGACAATATTGATACAGCATGATGCCTTGTACTTGACTTGCATATGGAAGACTTCTCCAACAACTAGGTGATCAAATTCGGCTCTCTTAAAGTCAACAACTCGAGACTATTCACGGAGCACTGACACCGCCATTAACTCCTTTTGAAAAGGTCTCTCTCGCTAAGATGAAGTGAATGTTACATTTTCAGATTTTAATTAGTTTTGCTCTTTTGTGATTGCAGGCTTCAGTACTCCCTTTAAGTTCAAGAAGGATAAAGCTTGAAGGAAATCCTGCCAATGTGATTAGAAGACCACCATCCACTTCCCGGCAGACGAAGAACCAAAACCTAAATCAGATATTTATCATCTTGCCCATCTCCTTCATTCTAATAAATTTCTATGTGAGTGACAAATTAGAATTTCCACCAACAATGAGCACAGAACTTTAAACAAGTTTTAATCTAATTCTTAGACCCAGATTTATATCAAAACTGCACAGCAGGTGATTATCAAATGCGTATTTTCTAGTGTCACGCCATCACTGAAATGTTGATATACAGGATTTAAACCAAACATTTAAACATTATTTGTTTGATTTGGTAACTTTCTAGCTACTCGTGGGTCCGCCGATTTCGCTATCTGTATGGTTTGGTGCCCCAAAACAGCTTATCTAGGTCCCATATCTATACCTGGGTTTTCACTTTGTTGTTTGACTCCTGTTTCTGACGAGAGTGTAAACTGGGTTCATGTAGCGATTTAAAAGCAGGTCTAAGATATTTGTGAAGTAATGTAAGTTGATTGGTTCCCCCCCCGAAAAAAAAAAACGGCCTTTACATTGCATTTTTTCAAAGCGAGCCAACAAAATAAAGAACTTTGGATTTGAGCCATTTTCTTGAAGAAGTTACAAGGGGAGGGGAGATTGCAGATGACAAATGAACTCCCTAAGTATTCCTGTAGTGGCCAATGTACAACCAGACTACCCCCTTCGATAAAAAAATTTGGGGAAGGGGATGGCTGTATAAAGGCTATGTGGTTGAAGTGCTTTAACATCTCGTTTTCTTCTCACACAGATGTTGACTCTACTGAAATCTCCCCAAGCTAACAACAATTCTAATGGAACATGTCCAACATCATCCTACACTATTCTTGATGACCAAAATTCAACAATCGGATGTCAGTTTTGCCCAAACTGTGCCCCAGGTCACCAACTGGCACCACCATGTGGCAGTAAATTGCAGCAAAATGCTGCCTCAGTAGCTTGTATGGTATGTCCATCCCAAAGCTATAAAGAGAGACGTGGTAGTGCTCCATGTAAAACGTGTAGGACATGTCACCCAAGAGAGACCATCAGCCCATGCACATCAGAGACAAATGCACACTGCGGAGATTGTCCTCGTGGAACTTACCAATGGGGTTATACAGTTGACTCTTGTAAAAAGTGCTCAACTTGCTGTGCAGTGAAACGCTTTGCTGAGGTGGAGTGCTTTTATCTTAGGCAATGCTTGAGAACAAACTGCACCAAAGAAATGGAAAATGGGAAAAGCAAGCCTCGACAATTAGATGTAACAAATTCTCAAAGTCTGCAAATGCCTGATAGAATGACACCACCTACGCCAATGCCACACCATACACGTCCTTCAGGCAACAACTCAGACCAACAAAATAAACAGCTTTTACAGGTCATGGTATCCAATTTAACGAGAACAAAAGTTACAACTGAGGTGCAGCAAGCCATACAAAGCGAAAGCACCTCAAATATGGCCAAGAAAGAAATACATCCTATTCAAATCATCTCAAGCAGTACCCTNCCCCAAGCTAACAACAATTCTAATGGAACATGTCCAACATCATCCTACACTATTCTTGATGACCAAAATTCAACAATCGGATGTCAGTTTTGCCCAAACTGTGCCCCAGGTCACCAACTGGCACCACCATGTGGCAGTAAATTGCAGCAAAATGCTGCCTCAGTAACTTGTATGATATGTCCATCCCAAAGCTATAAAGAGAGACGTGATAGTGCTTCATGTAAAACGTGTAGGACATGTCACCCAAGAGAGACCATCAGCCCATGCACATCAGAGACAAATGCACACTGCGGAGATTGTCCTCGTGGAACTTACCAATGGGGTTATACAGTTGACTCTTGTAAAAAGTGCTCAACTTGCTGTGCAGTGAAACGCTTTGCTGAGGTGGAGTGCTTTTATCTTAGGCAATGCTTGAGAACAAACTGCACCAAAGAAATAGAAAATGGGAAAAGCAAGCCTCAACAATTAGATGTAACAAATTCTCAAAGTCTGCAAATGCCTGATAGAATGACACCTCCTACGCCAATGCCACACCATACACGTCCTTCAGGCAACAACTCAGACCAACAAAATAAACAGCTTTTACAGGTCATGGTATCCAATTTAACGAGAACAAAAGTTACAACTGAGGTGCAGCAAGCCATACAAAGCGAAAGCACATCAAATATGGCCAAGAAAGAAATACATCCTATTCAAATCATCTCAAGCAGTACCCTCAACACCACCACAACAAGACCACTGAAGGGATTTGGAACTCTTCTCAATGGCAATGCTGTGGAGCCAACATGGCTAATGGCTGTAAGCTACCTGAGTGAAAACATTAAACACCTGACAGCTGTGTTAATTTCACTTGCAGTGATATTTGGAATTATTGCACTTACTTCCATTGGTTTGCTGATAATATGCTGTAGACACCAAACAAGTGGGATTGTGGTGACCTGTTGTGCACAGTACATAAATCGCAACTATGGAGGATTTGAGTCAGTACCTTGTGACACAACACCTCAAACAGGTATGTCATGCAGTTCAGAGAGAAAACTTAGAAGCACAAGGTTCTGCCCTGCTCTGCTATTTCATACAGGAAAACAGGCCTATTGTCCACAAAAAGTCAAACATATCGACTCTTCACAGGGCGTGAACTGTATGGAAAAATTAGGGAGAGATAATGAGGCAGAATATTTATCATTACCACAAGATAGTACAGTTTAAAGTAAATACATTACATGATCAGTTGTAGATACTTTGGTGTGATTTATTTTCATGATCAGATCATTTAAAGAGATCCAAATTCTAATCAATGATGTCTTGAAACTTCCCATTGTAATTTTTCAGATTATGTTGACTTAGTCAATCACATTAATGAATCTTTGAATGAAACGACCTATGCAGATGGCACAGCTTCTGTTGATCTTGAAAGTGAGTTTTCATATTTATATTGGTGCTTTGAAATGCATGATAAAATAAATAAATAAGTTTTTGCATTACTATTCTGTTTATAGTCCTTTTTTGTTTGTAATTAATTCCTCCTTGTTGTTGTTAGAGCTGTAATGTGTTTTTTTTTTTTGGCTTTTNCACCTCTTGCAAAAGGTAAATAATATTTATGTGACAAATGGATGTTTGCAGCTCCTTTGAACCTTCAGTCATTGATGAGTAATATTCAATTTAGTTCAATATATTTCAATTCCTACAGGTTTAAAATTGACCAACATATCCCAAGATGTTGAAGACATACTTGTTAAAGCACTTGATGTGCCCCTAAAAGGGCATATTGAATGTGGCTTTGAAAAAGTGGGAAGGGTAATGGAGATAAATGAACTTGATCTTCAATACTTGAAGAAGAAAAAAGAAGGAAGTCCAACTTGTCAACTTTTGGAAATACTCAAAGCCAAGTATCCACATCTCACTGTTGCTAAATTACTTCATCCATTACAGGACTAAAAAAAAGAGAACAAAAGTAAGCATACTGACCCAAATGCCACTCTAAAGAGTATAATGGCAATCTAACCCTTTCATATTTGCAGGTTTGGGAAGTATTTTGTGTAAACATGATTCTTGCCATGTTAATTCTAATCTCAATACAAAGTGATTGTAGAGACCCTTGCATATAGAAGAGATAGGATATGTAAAGAGTATATGTGCAAAATGAAGGACTTAAACCACTCTCTTCATCCTCTTCTAACAACACACCTAGACGATACCTGATCCTACACCCTAAGGCACAAATCAGACCAGCTGTACTTTTACAGAAACGTTACTGCCTGTAGAACTAAGTGCACCGAAGACTTTTTCACTTTTAAGTATTTTTAACAAATGTGATGCATGTTCTGGTGTGGTGTAGATAACTTGTACTTAATGTATACAGAAATGTACATAGTCGATCTTAATAAGTTTTCATTGTATCATAACTCATTGATTCAGTAAGTTACTGCACGAGAGTTTAATAAACTGTTATTACTCTGAGATTTTATTCACAGTTAACAAATCTCTGAATTTGCCATACAATAAGGATATGAATATAACTCAATGCCCAGGTAATAGGCTGAGTTTACAAATGGTAGAGTTGCATGTTACTTTTCAAAGCAGCCTAATTAGCAAAGAGGGACACATCCATAACAAATTACTGTAGCTATTTAAAGGTGTGCAGTATTTATACGCATTTGTTTATTTAACACAGTTTTAAAAAAATACTATACTATCAAGGCATATAATATTTCAAAGTTCATCGATTACTAACTGCAGTTTTCAGTTTTGATAACATAATTTAAAATGACATCACTGAGAAAAAATGTTCAGTGACTTTTACTGGAAATAATGATTAAATAATTTAAGACATGTAAGTATTTTAGGACATTTGTTACATTTCATAAATACACATGGTTTTGAGAAAATAATACAAAAATGATATTACAATGTGACAAAATACTCAACCACTATTGGTTGAAATGTGAATGGACTACATGTCACTTTAGGAATGTGCCATTTGTTTTAAAAGAAAGGCCTCCACTTGAACATCTGAAATGAGGTTATGTTTATTTACAATGTAGGTATCTTAGCCTATTTTTTCTATTTAAATAGAAAGTATAATCAAGTGGTGAAAAGAAATAGTTTAGAACGAATGCAATAGTTGGTCATAGTAGGAAAAACTAGAAGGATGTCTTCTAGCTCTTTCTTAAAAGAAAAACTGTATTATTCCTTTATAATTTTAAGATTATTTAAGATTAGGTCAAATCATGACAA